GAAAAATGGATATTGACAGGCAGCTAGCAGTCTGATATTCTTATCAGGGAATCAATTTCCAGAGAGACTAGGATATATCATAGTAGTTATTCAATGCTTAGATTTTAAAAGACCTGGGTTTGAGTCCTGGCCTGGTTTTGTGGGATTTCAGTTTCCTGTTGGAGGGTGGGTTCAATTATTTGGGCCCTCCTGCTCAAAACAACTGAAACAAAAAATCTCTGTAAAAAGCATCAAATAGCCAATAAAATACCATAAGAACCCAACAAGCCAGAAATGGGAATAGTTCACGGGGCCCAAGAGTCACTTGTGCTCTGAGGGCATTTAGTTTCCTATTTGGCAGCCCTTAGTGGAACAAGCAGGCAGAAGTCAAGGTCAAGGTAGGGAACCTAATAGAGCCTGGGATCCTAAAGGACTACAAGCTCAGGTCAGGATGATCAGAAGACTACAGAGATGTTCGGAATGCTGTGGGGAGCACAAGATCAAAAGGGAGAAAAAAACAGACCCTGAGAATTTGTGGTCACACACTGGCTCTTGGCCCAGGTTTGTAGCCAGATTCATGTCACCTGTGTGAGGCAAGGTACTTCTGGGTGACATGTCTGGCAGAAGCAAACCCGTATCTTCTGATGGAAGAGACTGTCATCTCGAATCCCACAAATAACTTTAGGCGATGAGCAGTACATAAATAACCAAACATGCATGGAAATAAAGCAGCACAAACACGAACCAGCAGAACAAAAACACCCACAAAAGCTTCATTCATATGGAGGAGCCGTCAATCACAGATGATAATACGACGTTTATTTCCAACTATGTTTAAAATTTTAGAAAGGAGAGGTTGGGAAGCCAAAACTGAAAAATGGCCTAGGAAAATTAACCCACTGACATACCTTTTAGAAATGAAAAATACAGTAACCAAAAGTAAAGACTCAATGGCGGGGTTAATAGCAAGTCAGGCACAGCTGAAGAAAGGTTAGGCTCATGCTGGGTCAGAAAAATGGAGCACAGAGGTAAAAAGAAAAACCAAAAAAATATGAAATAAAGGTTTTAGAGAATACATTAAGAAGATCTAACACATTTAATTGGCATTCCAGAATCAGAAAGGAGAATGGTACAAGGAAAAATTTAATTACATGATGGTTGAGGCTGGGCCTGGTGGCTCACACTTGTAATCCCAGCACTCTGGGAGGCTGAGGTAGGAGGATCAACTTGAGCCCTGGAGTTTACATAGCAAAACCTTGTCTCTACAATCAAAAAAATTAGCTGAGCATGGTGGCACACATCTGTAGTCCCAGCTACTTGGGAGGCTGAGGTGGAAGGATTGCCTGAGTCCATGAAATCAAGGCTTCAGTGAGCTGTAATCATTCTACTGCACTCCAGCCTGGGCGACAACTCAAAAAAAAAAAAGATAGTTGGAAGCTACAAACTGATTAAAAAAAAAAAAAAAGAAAACACCATTAAGGCCAGTGAGTCATAAGCAGGATAAGAAAAAAGAAATGTACACCCAGACACTTTGAGGTAAAAGTGCCAAATTGTGTGATCTTGGGCATGACTTCTCTGAAGCCCAGGAATTGGAGACCAGCCTAGGCAATATAGTGAAACCCTATCTCTACAAAACATTTTTAAAAATTAGCCAGACGTGGTGATGCTTGCCTGTAGACTCAGCTCTTCAGGAGGCTGAAGTGGGAGGATGGCCTGACCCAGGAGATCAAGGCTGCTGTGAGCCGTGATGTGCCACTGCACTCCAGACTGGGCAGCAGACTACAACCCCAACTTAAAATGATTGGTAGGTGAGATGTGTCTAGGTGCTCAACAATTGTATTTGACAAATACACCAATAGCCCCTTTATAGCAAGAAGCTGGAGGAGCCCAAATTTGGAGTATGAATGAGAGCCACAGAGCCCGCTGGGTGTGGGACCTGAGGAAACACCTTGCTAAGCACCAACAGCCTCATCTGTAAAGTAGGCGTAAACCGGGCTCGGTGGCTCAGCCTGTAATCCCACGCCTTTGGGAGGCTGAGGCGAGTGGATTGCCTGAGCCCGCGGGTTCGAGACCCGCCTGGGCAGCGAGACCTCATCTCTACAATAAATCAAAAAAATCAGCCGGGCGT